ATAATTTAAAAGATGTAAATTTTGTAACGAAAAAGTGCACTTAATGCTAAAAACAATTTTACAAGCCCCTAATGCAAATATATTTTTTCCTTCAAGTCTATTATATTTCTATTACCCTTTTCCCTCGATTCCTTGACCACACCTGTCAACTTTTCCATTTCAAACGTAAAATAATCGCTTCGGATGTTCAGCAGTCCAACGGAGCGTTTCGGCCGACTGCGAGCCTCGAAAACCACTAACCTGAGAGAGCCGGTCTTTTACGGTCAGACAATTCGGACTTGCGAGCGCGCGGCCGGACTGTTTAAAAACACTGCTAAAACCGTAATTTGAAGAAAATTGTAATGAAAATATTTTTTTGAGATTGTTTCAAGTTTAGTTTAAATTTTGTAGTAGTTTGTTTGGTGAAAATCGGTGTGGAAATGTGTTAAAAAAAATTGTTCTGCGTGCAGTACACGCTTGGGAAATTTGGTTTCGGGTGTAGGTGCGCAAAGACACCTGAGTTGTTTGAAAAATGTTTTAAAATAGTAGTGATGAGACAATTGTGAGGAAATTAATTTGTGGACGTAGCTTGAAGTTTTGTTCATATTTTGGTGTAGTTTTTGTGTTCAAAAACTGTTTTTGAAGTGGCTTAAAAATATTTAGTTTGAGTGAAGTACACGGCTGTGAATGTTATTGTGTCTGCGGGCGTCCAAAACGTTTTTACAACGATTTTTATATGAAAATAGTTTCCGAAATTAATTGTGCATGTACTTTGAAGTTTATTTAATATTTTGGCATAATTTTTGCGTTAAAATTTGTAGTGTAAAGTATAAAAAAAAATATTTCATGCTACTGCAATTTTTATCCAGTGCGCAAGTTTGTGTGCATCATTTGACTTTTTAAAATTATTTTAAAATTGTAATAATAAAGTAATATTTTTGAAAATTATTTATGGAGTTAGTTTGAAGTTTAATTTAAATATTGGTTTAGTTGGTTTAATTTATATCGGAGTTTTAAGTGGTCAAAAAAAATTTTGTTAAAAGTGTTAAATTTATTGTGCCAAACAGACCGAGGAATGGATATGCGCATTTGTGGAGTTTAAAAATCGTTTTAAAACTGTAATAAATAGAAAATTGTGTTGAAAATTAATTGAAGTCTAATTTATATATTGTAGTAGTTTATGCATTTAAAATCGGTGTTTTAAGTGATTAAAAAAAATTATTTTTTGGAAGTGTTAAATTGATTGTACCAAGGAATGAATATAAGCGTTAGTGGAGTTGAAAAATCGTTTTAAAACGGTAATTAAGAAAAATTTGTATTGGAAACTAATTATAAAATTAGTTTGAAGTCTATTTTATATATTGTTGGGGTTTATGGGTTTAAAATCGGTGTTTTAAGTGTTTAAAAAAAATATTTGTCAGAAGTGTGAAATTTATTGTACCAAACAGACCGAGGAATGGATATGCGCATTTGTGGAGTTTAAAAATCGTTTTAAAATTGTAATAAATAGAAAATTGTGTTGAAAATTAATTAAAAATTTAGTTTGAAGTCTATTTTATATATTGTTGGGGCTTATGGGTTTGAAATCGTGGTTTAAAGTGGTTAAAAAAAATTATTTAGTATGGTTTGCAAACTACTAAAACTTATTTATTGAGATTGCGCCATGCTCAGCTGAATTTGTAAATTTTAAAACAAAACTTAGGTAAATAGTAATAAAATATTTTTATAGTATTGTTTAAGGTTCAATTTATATTCATATTAAAAAAATTAGTTTAAAATCGGTTTTCAAACAGCTAAAGTGATTTGTGTTTTATGCGTGTGATAGTTTGTAAAAATATAATAAAAAAGTAAATAATATTATTAATAAGTAGTGAAGTATAGCCTGAAATTTAATTTATATATGAACACAAATTATTTATTAAAATTTTTTAATCTTTATTTAATTTTGTGATACTATTTATGATACAAAAATTAGGACTTATTCATTTGTACATTTGTTTATTATTTATCCTGTAACTTTTAAACGGTTTGTCTAATATAAATGAAATTTATATTCACCAAATCTATACAGAATTAAATAATCTAAAATATTTTCTAATATAATGACCTACAGCAATTCGGTATACTTCAAAATTAGAATTAAAAATACCTCTAAGCGTTTTCATTATGAAGTCAGAATTTTATTCTTGCGTTTTTTTTACTGCAACTCCTGTAACTTTTAAATAGTTTGCCCTATAATAGTGAAATATTAGAAAAAAATTCAAAATTAAATGGTTTATAAATTCTTCTAATATTATAATGACTTACAGCAACTCGGTATAATTTAAAATCGTCACAGAAGATAGATCTACTATATGTCAATCCTCATGGAAGTTTTTTGCATTGTATGATGTTTTGGAGCTAAAATTTATTTTTGTTAGTAACTCTTTTGAGTATTTTTAATTATTTATTCACAAAGTTCAGTGATTAAATGTTTTTTTACATAAATGTGATATAAATAGATTTTGAATAATAAATTGATTTATATTTAAAATACTAACCTAAGCAAGTAAATTGCAAAATTACGCCCATGAATGAATTTAAAAAAGTGTATATACATATATATATACATTATTTTATGTAGGATGTCCAAGTCCAAATCGACCTCTTAAATCAGCAAATAAATTATGCAATTCTATTCCCAATTTGAATCTTTAATGAGAGTCAATCTTTAAAAAAAAGCTATTGTTGCAATTTTGTATCTTCTGAGAAAATCTGGATTTCTAGGTCAACGTTTGTGCAGATTTCAATACCATAATTGTTATAAATTGCTAATGCAAATCATGATTAGTCATGTGTAATTAATACATTTGTATATATATACATATATATATATATATATACATATATATACATACATTTGTTTAATTTTTCAAATGCGAAGACAAAGTCCAAATCCAAAGTTTTTTCTTGGCGCATCCAATCATTTGTTGATTTGTTTAACTTTAATATTTAATATTAGAAAAAATGTGTGTTTGTATATAAGTGTATGTATAAAGTCAAATTTCAACTTTTTTATACGTTTCTTTAAAAACTGCTGCACCGATTTAAAAAGGATTCATTTGTCTGAGTGATATGTTCAAATTATTTTTTTCAATTACGATTTTAAATTATACCGAGTTGCTGTATAGTGTTATGTTGTCACAAAATATTATAAATTATTTAACTTTTTACAAATTCTCTGGATATTAAAAAAATATAAGATTAATATTACGAAGGATACAACAGATATAGCAAAGAATTGCACTCAAGGTTTAAATTAATACTTTTATTTTCTGTTGCTATTTTGAAGTATATCGAGTTGCTGTAGGGTTTTATGATGTTAGAAAATGTTCTAAATTCTTTATTTTATATAAACCTGTCAAATATTTTATTATCTTTAGACAAACGGTTTAAAAGTTACGAGAGATATATTTATATAAATAAATGCACAACTGAAATGTATGTACTAGCACTTTACGGTTAACAATGTACCTGCAGCTAGGAAAATTATTTACCAGGTTTTGAAGCCATTTTAAAGTATACCGATTTGTTGTAGAGCAATATGATATTAGAAAATATTACAGATACTTTAATCCTGCACAAATTTCCTGAATATTTCATTTTTATCAGACAAACCTTTCAAAAGTTACAAGAGATACAATAAACAATTACATTAATCATTTACCAACTTATTGCACCTGGCATTAATTTTACATATTAATTTGCTAAATTCAAATGCGATTTTGAAGTAGACCGAGTTGCTGTAGAGCAATATGATGTTAGAAAATATTATCCATAATTTAATTTTGTACAAATTTGCCGAATATTATATTTACATCAGACAAATGGTAAATGTTACAAGAAATATAATAAACAAATTTTTTTCTTCTTATAAATTACAATCTGTCTAAATAAAAAGACATTGAGTAATTAGTTTGACAAACAACATATTAAGTTTTAAAAGGAAAACCCAGTGGTTCACCTTTTATTACTGTTCTAAATTATATTTTAATTTTGGTATAATATAGAAAAAAAAAAAACTCAAATATACATACAATTATAAACAAAGTACATTACACAGACTATCACACAGATACATGTGTATGTATCATATACACATACATACACACATCTATTTTAAATAATATGGTAGAACAACTTATTGTTAATTAATGTGTTAGATCTATTAATTGTATTCTTTTATTGTGGTGTTGAAAATATTTGAGATAATTTAATTCTGCACACATTGCCTGAATATTTTATTTACATCAGACAAACCGTTCAAAAGTTACAAGAGATATAATAAATAAATACATAAATCATTTACACCAACTTGTTCTACCTGGCGTTAACTTTACATATTAATTTGCTAAGTTCAAATGCGATTTTAAAGTATACCGAGTTGCTATAGAGTGATATAATGTTAGAAAATATTTGAGATAATTTAATTCTGTACAAATTTGCTGAATATTTTATTTACTTTAGACAAACCGTTTGAAAGTTACAAGAGATATAAGAAATGTATGCATAAAGTTGCAAGTTTTGTACTGTGGCTATAAGTCTTTATCACTTTTCAATTGCGATTTTAATGTACACCGAGTTGCTGTAGGGTACTATGATGTTAGAAAATATTATAAATAATTTAATTTTCTACAAATTTACCAAATATTTTATTAACATTAGAAAAACCGTTTAAAAGTTACAAGAGATATAAATAAACAAATACACAAATCATTTACCAACTTATTGCACCTGGCGTTAACTTTACAGACTGTTTTGCTAAGTTTAAATGCGATTTTAAAGTATACCGAGTTCCTGTAGGGCATTATATCATTAGAACAAAACATAGACAATTTAATTTTATACAAATTCACCAAATATTTCATTTATCTCAGACAAACCGTTCAAAAGTTACAACACAAATAATAAATAAACACATAAATTTACCATAAATAGTACAGGAGCTGGTACCCCAATAATCAATTCATTTTTTTTTCCAGTATCAGTTCCAACAACTCCGATAGCATCCCACAGCAACAGACGCACCAGGACGATATCTTCAGAAATAACATCAAGTCCTTCTTCTTACAATCGTCTGGTCTTCCTGACGTCTTCAGATTCTTCCAGCAAAGAGGAAGATTTTGACAACGATTGTGAGTGCGATTGGGACTACTTTGAACCAAGTTCAACTGGCACCAACTTACCACAAATCGGGGAAAAAAAACAGGAAGATAAGGTAATTGTTGAAGACCAGGATAAGGAACAAGATGCTGAAGTCAAGATAATAGATACACCACCACCAGACTCCTCAATAGTTGTATCCTCAGCATCAGCACCTCTAGATCCTCCCCCTCAGTGTTGTCAAAGTTGTGGTTCTCGTCCCAAGTACGTCCCTGTCCCAATTCCGGTACCAGTGCCGGTTCCCGTCCCCTGGTGGGGCCCCAGAGAGTCCTTGGTGCTGTTCAGAAACGCCCTGCCGAGGTCATCCTTAGATCCTTCGTCCTGGATGTGGTCTTCACCGACTGTTACTTCCACGCAATATGGGCTGGGTAGTTTTTATCCCGGATTTTCACCCGGAAACGGCTGGATGACCGGATTTGATGGCAGTATGTACCAGCAGCAGAGGATGCCTCTGATTGCTTCGTCTTTGGCTAACTATGATCGACAAGGTAAGGAAATACAGTAGAACTCCAATTATCCGAACTCCAATTATCCGAACTCCAATTATCCGAACTCCGACTATCCGAATCGCCGATTATCCGAATCACTTTCAGAAAAATAATTGTCCAAAAAAAGTCTAAGTGCGCTATTATTCTTCCACCAGCGAAGCCAGTGTAGGCACATTGTTTGTTTTGATTTGACGGAGATGTTTACAAAACAATGATTTTTATTTCTAAACTTGTACATAAGTACATTTTATTCATATTTAAAACATGTGAAAATGTCATGTTTCTTTCATTTAATTCAATAAAAAAATAGTGCAATATCAAAACGTAACTTTTTTTCTCTCCAATGGCAATTTTTTAAAAAAAACTCCGAATATTTGATTATCCGAATATTTGATTATCCAAATCGGTCCCGGTCCCCATTAATTCGGATAATTGGAGTTCTACTGTAGATTAATTATAATAAAAATAGAATAATTGTAACAGAGAATTAGTGGTGTATGGCATCGTACCTTAAGGCAAATTGCTGGAACTTTCCGTACCGTAATGAAATATTCGAGAAATTTTAAACGTTTTCAAATATATTAGGTTGTCAAATATCTCCCTTCCGCCTTTTTGTATTATAAACCAATAGCAAAAAAGCGGAAGGGAGATATTTGACAACCTAATATTATTACAACAAATACTGTAACTTTCACTATTTTTGCTATTTTGTTCGATTCCTATTGATAGGGAGATGTGCTGATTAGTTTTTGGCAAAGGCATGTCCAGCCGTTACGGAGATACGGGGCAAAGAGTGCAGAAAATACAAATCGAGTTTTTGAGAGAACGGAGTATCGGATTTGAATGATCTAAAAACATTCAATTTGTAATGATTGGGAGAAGAGGTGATTAGTTTTTGGCAAAGACAAGTCCCACCATTTCGAAGATATAGAGCTAAATGTGTAAAAAATGGCAGTTTTTGAGAGAACTAAGCGTTCGATTTAAATGATTCAAAAAACTTTCTGTTTGTCTTAACAAAATAATTGATTTTGGAAGAAAAAATTTTTTTGTTTCAACTTTTTTTAATTTTTTTTTATATATTTTTTTTATATAAAAAATAATTCAGATTTTATTTTTATTTCTGACTATAGTTCTAATATACTTTAAACAAATAATTTCAACTTTGCAATTCAGTTTATATAATTCTTATAAATATTAGACAATGTTACAATATTTATAATAATCTATTTGAAAACATTTAATATTCCTCGAACATTTCGTTACGGTACCGAAGTTCAAGCAATTTGCTTTAAGGCACGATGCCATACACCCCACTAGTTTATTATTTAAATTATTTACTATAAACTTATTTATATTTAGTTAATTTTAATTATATTTAAATGTAACTAGTTTGTTTGTTGCAAGTATTTTTTAAAAAATTTAATAAGCTTTGCAATACTTTTACAATATAATTATTTTGTTTAACAAATTTTAGGTTATTTTATGATATTTTAACAAATTCAAGTGTCTTATATTATTATTATTATTATCATTATCATCATCATTATCATTATTATTATTAAGTATTTTTACAATATAAGTATTTTCTTTTACAAATTTTTAGGTATTTTGACGAAAGAAATATTTTGTTTCACAATTTTTTAAGTGTTTTTAGATAATTAAAAAAAAAATATTTTCTAAAATTTCCAAACTTACAAAATATTTAGAAAAAATGTTTTTTCTTTTAAAAAAAATTTTAAACATCGAAAAAAATTGACAATTTCTAAATTATCAATTCTAAATTCTAAATTATCAATAAAATTAAATTTAAAGAAAATTGTCTCTTGTAAAA